GCTGGAGGTGGAACAGTTATTCAGATGTATAATTTGGGAGTAAAATCATAAATTAGAGAACAACAATGAAAAAGGAGCTGGGACTCTTGATTCTGTAGAAAAAGACCCAGTCCTAGACTACCTAATTCCATATTTTTACATTAATAAAGGTTAAATTTTTATCTCACTTAAGCCACTATCATTTTAGAATTTCCTCCTTTTGCAGTTGAACCTAATCCCTTATAAATTATTACATCTTAAATATTTTGTTACTTATTTATTTATATCTTCTCTTTCCTCCCCTCCTAGACTCTAAGGTCCTTGAAGGCTCACCAATGTGTTATTCAAGTTTTTCTTTTTCATCTTTTTGTCATCTGTATTCCACTTGCACCTGGCACAGTGTCTGGAACATGGCCAGAACTCAATCAGTATTTGCTAACTTTCCATTTTTTGCTGATCATAGAATTTGCGAAATCTTCAAACTATGTAAATAGAAAAAAATAACTGAAAGAATATGATTTCTGTACTGTGATAAATGGATTTTCTTCATCTTGAATTGAACCTAGAATACTACCACAAACAAGTTGTTGCTTATGATTCTGTGTCTTTCAATGCTCATATTGATAATTAAAGTGTTGTCTTCATGTTGTCTTTCATGTCTTCATGAAAGAATTTTGTTTGATTTTCAAGTCTGTGTCTGATATAGCCATTACTCACTTGTTCAGATATGTCTTTCTCCTATTAAGTTCTTCGCCTTAGCAACCTCTTCTTAAAATAGTACTATAGTGTTTATGAGGAACAGGAGTGCTGGGTGAAGTCAGTGGTTCTTAACCTTTTGTTTATCAAAGCTAGGGAGACCACAGTTTATCAACAAAAGTGGTATCTTTTTGAGAGTGAAATGAATACAGGCCATTGGACAGAGGTAATGACTGTCCCAAGGAAATTGGGACATAATGTCTCCTTGTCACAGGCTTCCTTGAGAATATGAAAAAGCCCTAGGCTCTCTCAGCAGAGGAACACACACATCCATTCACCCTAAATTTGGAAGATGACTTGGAGGGTCTATTAGCCTACGCAGTTTGTGCATGAAACTTTAGGAAATCTACTTACCTTGACTAAGAACTCCCGGGCAAAATTACTCTCAGTTCCTTCTTCATTAAAGTTCTATAATTCTATCAGTTTAGTGTGGTGATGAGAAGTCTCCATGAGTTATTGGCACAGCTAATTCTGGAGGATTCTCACATTAGATACTCAACCCTCAGCTGCCAATCAGCACCTGAAATCCCCTTTGCATTTAAGGAGCTTCCCACATTATCTTCAGGTGGAGTCTCTTTCCTTGGTCACTCACAAAAACAGTAGAGCCTTGACTAGTGCCAACAGTAATCTTACTTCCTCTCGCACAGCAGCTGAAGGCTGCCGTCCTAAACAATAGAGCTGGCTAGGGACAGCGTGGAGTTCCCTCACCACATGCTCCCCAATTCCAACCCTCTTGATTGCCTTGCACCCCAAACCATAGTCCTCCTGGAATCCTGAGACCAGTGGCGCTCAGAGACATAGCAGCTTCGAAGTTTTCTGTGCTCAGTCACAATTCTTGTTGCAATACAAATGCAAATGTCTGTTTTTCCACTGTGCACAAAGTCATGGACTTGATGATCCATTTCAATAGAATAGGTAAAAAATACTGGCAGTTTGAAAAGTATTTAGAAAATGGAAATCAGGACAACAAAAGAAGTAACTTTAAATTCATAAAAGTAGAAGGGGGAATATACCTGAATAAAATCCAATAAATAATGTGGAATGGAGATGGTTATCATTTTAAAAGGTTTTAACCCATTTTTCTATTGCCAAGGCAACCATAACCTTGTGGAATTGAAAAACAATAAGGAAAAAAGCAGTAATAATCAGAACAACAAAGCTCTAAACCAGAAGGACAATTTGTGTACAGATGTGAATTTAATAGAGAAGACAAAGGGCTGCTTTGTTCAAACTAAATCTTACTGGTAAACAAAAGAGAGTTTTTGAAAAACTCATAATTTCCATTTTCATAAAATATCTGAGAAAATATAGATATACTTGGCATTCAGACTCTGCCTTAAATCCTGCTGATTTCATTGGGGGGGGGGACTTTTTCTCTCAGAGAAGTAGGTGTTTCATATACAGCAATATTTACTATTCATTTAAAAGTTCAGTATGTTGAATATCTTACTATAATACTTCTTTTCTCTCAACTTTTAAAGCTTAATTTAAACACTGGATAGATTGAAAAAAGTTAGTTGTTTCTTTCTCTTTTCTTTTCTTTTTTTTTTTTTAAACACATGGAATGCACTTGATTAAAGGGTTCAATAATACCAAGCTTTCAAGATAAATATTGTATGAGAACATTGACTGGGTATCATAAGGAACGTGGTGAAAAGCAAATGTGATGTTAAACATAATGATTATCACCTGGTTGTTACTGAAAGCAAAACAGGGCCCAGAAAATATGTTTATGCAAGTTTACATCTGGGTCTGTCTATATAGACACAGATCTTCCCTCTGCTATTGTCTAAAGCTCTAAGTTTTTCTTTCTTTTCATTGCAGCCTTGATGTTTGAGGGAAAGAATCAACGAAAATGAATTCAGCAGGATTTAATACAGAATTTGAATGGCATGTGCATATTTTTGCTGATATTTTCTGAAAATGTAGATTAGAATATTAATTTTTCTCAATTCTAGCACGTGTGTGTGTGTGTGCATACGGCATGCACACCCACATGCAAACACACAGTAGCATAGAAAGAAGTGATAAGCGTAAACTGTAATTAACTTGAAAGTCTTTGAGTGCCCCATGGTCAATTTGGAAAACAAGTCTGTAATTTTGTATTATTGGCTCATTGTTGGGGCTGCCCAATGCCTTTATCCTTTTAATAGCAGTCTTGCTGATACGTAAGTCCAGGCATGTTTTCTGTAGCATCCTTTGTTTTCACTTTCAAGAGTTCTCAGCATGTGATTACATAGTGGAAACACATGAGGAAAAGGCGATCTCTCCTTCTGAAGATCGTACCTTTAATTGATGACAGATAGGAACAGCCAGAGCTGAAAGGTCAGGCAAGACACGAGGGATTAAACACTCCTCTGGAGAGAGCTGCTCTTTCTTTTCCTGGACAAGGAAAACCCAGCTGAGATGGCAGAAAGCTATTGGAAAACCAATTGTGAGTGCCACCTGCACCTGCTTCACTAGCTTGGGTCTGTGCCACAGGAGGACTCCCCTGGTTCCTGCCCCAGTTTCTTCCCTAGACTTTGGAAGATGCTCACCCTGGCAGTCAGCTTGCCATATAGAACCATTGCTAAAAAGCATGCCTGCATCCCCAGCTTGTTCCAAAAAATGGTCGGCACAGAAAGCCCTCTTCCCCAATGTTGGACACATCCTTTCTCTCAAAATGTCCCCAAACTGGTTACCTGCCCACTCGCAGCCAACCCAGGACTGTCAAATATGTCTGAAGATATGTTAGAAAGTTTCCCATTTCCAAAAATCCCACCTTAATGAAGGCTTGTCACAGCCTCAGTATTAGGACTTTTTACTTGATCACACTTTCTAACACCTGTGAACACCTGCTGAAATGAACGTGAAGACAGATGGGTTCCCTTGCTGCAAGTGTTTGAATAAACAGACTTTGTTAATTCTGTCTTGGACTTTGTATTGCCTTTGACAACTTCAGTTCTGCTCCTGTCACTCGTGTCTGTTTTCATTCTAGTTTTGTGCAGAGTGTGCCTTGCAATGGCCCTCCTGTGCCTCCCTTTGAGCATAGATGCTGCTCCTGTGGTCTCTTTGGGAACTGGATTGAGGAGGTCAGAGCTACTCTAACTTGGGGGATGGCTGAGCCACAAGTGACTGCAGCCAGGAGGAGCTAAGGCCCTTATTTATGGGCAAGGCTCAGTCTAGCAGGTCTAGCAGCCTTGGGCCTGCTCGGCTCTTTCTCTCTGTCCTTTGTTCTTGTTTTCATAATGGTTTTTTCCTATGCAAGAAAGGAGCAATGATTTTTTTCTGTCTGTGTATCCTCTAGGCCTAGTTTCTGATCTTTCTGATCCTATGAGCTATGTTGTGTGCTTTGATTAAATCTTTTCTGCCTGTAATGGCTTGAGTTGGGTTGTTTCATGTGCCAAGAACCTCCCGATAGATAGCCTCTTTGAAATGAAAAGATCTCAATGTCCATTTCTCTTGGCCTCACCAGGCAAGCTCACTTCCTGAAAGTGCTGACCTCATTCCTTAGGGGGATAGATAAGCACTTATTCATATGATGGGATTTCAAGAGGGTGAAAGCAGAACACTGCCAAGGTGAGAGCAGGGCACAGAAGGGCATCCAAGGGCTTCACAGACTTCCCTTAAGACTTGTCCTGCTTCCAAGAAATGCAGTTGGAGGGAGCAGAAGGACGTGGAAGAATCTGAAAGCTCAGGATTGCATTAAGTGACTTTCTCATACATGAGTTATTTGTCTATTGGAAATAAATCTATCTGAATGCTGTATTGATCTTCTTGCCTGGCTGGCAAAAATCCCAGGGAGAGGATTTACCACGGAGGATGGCTCTGGGTCATTGACTTCATAATGATATCCATTTTCAGAGACTCCTTTGGAATTTTGAAAATGTTCGAACGGGCCTAGTGGTATCTGGATCACTACAGCATGAGAAATTCTAGTTTGGCTTTCGGAATCAGAACTTTGATTAATTAATGCCTTTCCTTCAGGCTGAGAACAACAATGATATAACACCTAAGGTGGTATTCAACTTCAGATTAGCATATATAACACCCAATGATAACTGAAATTGCTCTAAAAATGTGTAGTGACAGTTTAAAACCAAAGCCTGGGATGACTGCTTTGCTATCTGTGAGCTGTTCAGAGGGTAGAAAGGCACCTGAAGATAAATGACCCCATTTTATTATTCTGCATTTGTTACCAGTATATCATAATTAGTTTTCTTCTAGTATGTATTTTTGATATCAATTTTGTTAAACATGCATTTTTTTTTGTCTTGTTTTTGAAGATCTTGATTTAGGTAAGATGAAACTGAAGGAAATCCTGTTGGAAAATGTAATATTGGTGAAATTACACTGCCTGCTTTCCGAAGGATTCATTCTTAATGAAGAATTAGTGAGAGGAAGAGCCTCCTTGTGAGTTTTAGATTCTTTGGATTTGCAATTTTTGGAAGACATGTTCTCTTAACTGATGCATTTGCTTTCTGGATATAAAAGAATTGAATTGTATTTTCATCTTCTCAATTAAATCTTGATGATAAATCACTACAGTGAGATCTGCAAACAGGTATTTTTCGGAAGTGCAGTGATGTTCTTTCTCAGTTTTTTATCCAGGAAAGATTTTTGAGTTATTAGGAATTGAATAGCAGAGATATTAAGCGTAGTTGTTGACAGGACATAAAAGAATAGATAGTAAGGATTTTAATTTAATGTATTTGTGGAGTACAAGGACAAGACAGTAAAAAGTTACTTCAAAAAGTTCATGGAGGCTGGCGCCGCGGCTCAATAGGCTAATCCTCCACCTGCAGCGCTGGCACATCAGATTCTAGTCCCGGTCAGGGCGCAGGATTCTGTCTTGGTCGCTCCTCTTCCAGTCCAGCTCTCTGCTGTGGCCCAGGAGTGCAGTGGAGGATGGCCCAAGTCCTTGGGCTCTGCACCCGCAGGGGAGACCAGGAGAAGCACCTGGCTCCTGCCTTTGGATCAGCACAGCGCGCCGGCCGCAGCAGCCATTGGAGGGTGAACCAACGGCAAAGGAAGACCTTTCTCTCTCTCTCTCTCTCTCATTGTCCATTCTGCCTGTCAAAAAAAAAAAAAAAAAAAAAAGTTCATGGAGAAATCAAGTTACGTGACAAGTTTATTTTGATGCAAAAACCCATGCAGTTTTTTCTATAACATGCATTTTTCAATGAACCTTAAGAAAACCCTCATGCTTGTCTCTGTATTTCACTAGCGTATGATCTGATCTGTAGTTGGAACTCAGCATAAAATTAATGAATGAAAGATACAATATCACAATATCACTGAAGATGTGTGGCATTGGTCAGCCTTTCCTCTTATTTCGCAGTGTTCCCCACTGTCCATCCCCTACCTCTGCTGCCATCTTGCCTTCACGATGCATTCAGCAAACAGGGTTTGAGGGGTTAGTTTGTGGGAGGGACCTCCTAGGTATCATTGATCTAAACAGGGTCCCTGTACTCTGAAGTCTCACCTGGCAGGGAAGGCTGAGAACTGGCCATGTGGGGACGATATCTTTGGTTGTCTCACAGTCTGGTGCCCTGTTAATCGGTTTCCATCTGAGACGTTGGAAGGGTAGTGTCAGTTTTGGAGGCCTGGGTTCTGGTTGCTTAAGTGACAGTGTATTAGAGTACTGATGCATTCAAGTTGAATACCTTAAGAAATAAAGGTTCTGGGGCTGACACTGTGGTGCAGCGGGTTAAAGCCCTGGCCTGAAGCGCCAGCACCTCATATGGGCACTGGTTCTAGTCCTGGCTTCTTCACTTCCGATCCAGCTCTCTGCTATGGCCTGGGAAAGCAGTAGAAGATGGCCCTTGGGCCCCTGCACCAGTGTGGGAGACCAGGAGGAAGCTCCTGGCTCCTGGCTTTGGATGGGTGCAGCTCTGGCCGTTGCGGCCATCTGGAGAGTGAACCAGCAGATGGAAGACCTCTCTCTCTGTCTCTGCCTCTCTCTGTAACTCTGTCTTTCAAATAAATAAAAATAAATCTTGAAAAAAAAAAAAAAGAAACAAAGGTCCAAGAAGAAAAAGGAATACAATTAAATGAGAAAACAAAGTTCTGGCAAACTAAGTTAGAATAACCACCAGGAAGATGAGATACTAGCTGACTCCAAATCCTTGATAAGCACTCAGTCTCTACTCGTTGAAGCCAGAGAATATGTCCTTGATTACAATCTCTTGAAAAGAGTGGGCGTCCTCCTCTTGTAAAGATTTCATTAATTAATAACAGGCCATGTTGCTAAGGACCCTTGTTTAGACTTGTTTATTTTAATTAACTAATAAACCTCAAGCAGAGCAGAGAGCAAAATCAAGTCTTAAAAGAAAAAGAAAGGGGCACCTGGTATTATTGCTTGTGTTGAATAGAACTGTTTTAGTTCAATTGTGACCATCTGAGAATTGTCAAGCATAACCTGTTGATTTGATGTGATTGCTTATTAAGTGAAATAATGCAATTTATTTCTTTAGCGATTTGTTTTATTATTATTTATTAGATAGAGAGGTTTCCTATCTGCCAGTTAACTCTCCAAATATCTATAACAGCTGGGACTGTGCTGAACCAAAACCAGGAGCTGAAAACTCAATCCAGGTGCCCTATGTAGGTGCCAAGGACCCAATTACCTGAGCCATTATTTCTGCCTCCCACAGTCTGCACCAGCAGGGAGCTGGAGTCAGAAGTTGAACCTAGGATTGAACCCAGGTGCTGGATGTAGGGTGTGGGTGTCCTAACTGACATCCTTTGCCAGGCTTAATATTCACCTTTGAAATTATACAATTTACAACAGCCTATGCTGTTATCAATCTTTTGTGTCCTTTTCCTTATTTGAATGCTTTTTTTTTCTTTTGGTTTCTTCTGATTTGTTTTTCCTACTTTTGGTCTTAAATTTACAGAGGTTTGCTAGTTTGAAACCCAGACTTACCCATTACCCTCCCTCCTCAGCCACCCACCCACACAACAACACCACTTTTTTCTTTTTAGCTAGTCTCTATCCATTCCATATTTTACTTCCTTAGTACTTGGAAGGTCTACAATCTTCCACCTAGCCTGGGCTTAGCACTAATTTGGAGGCCTTTTTGTTTTTTAAGTCCTATATCAAATCAGATTTCACATTGTATGTCCAAATCATTTTTGCCCCTGCCCATTTCTTTCCATCTACATTGCCACTATACTGCAGCCTGTATTTTCTCTGGCCTGAAAGTATTTCCTCTGGCCTTCTTTCCATGTGCTAACCTCATAGTGTGCTGATCTAGACTCTGCTTCCAATTTTTTCTTTCTCAGTTAAACTTTGCACATAAAAATGATTAATCTAGGACTGGCACTGTGGCATAGCAGCTAAATCTGCCAGCTGTGAGGCCAGCATCCCATATAGGTGCAAGTTCTTGTCCCAGCTGCTCCACTTCCAATCCAACTCCCTGCTAATTCTCCTGGGAAAGCAACAGAGGATGGCCCAAGCACTTGGGCCCCTGCACCCATCTGAGAGACATTTCCACATTCTGGTCTTTATTCTCAGCTTACTGTTTCCTGAAACACACCCTATTCTACTAAACTAGATTTCTGGTTCCTGGAGAACTGCCTTGTCCAATGTTATTATGACAGGCTGTTAGTGATGAGGCAGTGAACATATGAATGGTCAGTGGGTACATTACATATAAAAACAGCACGATACGCTCTCTAGCCTGCCTACAGGCCCCCATGCCAACTGCCTCCATCAAGACATACCTGTGCCATCTCTTTTCCCCTACTGTAATGTTTTCCACTCTGCCTACCTTTGAGTCTGTCAAATTACAAGTGATGGTGGCTGACTGTCTACTCATGTTCAGGATTTGTAGCCTTAGTCTCATTTGGTGGGTCTTCATTTATTTCCACAGAGGCCATATATGTTTAAATTAATTAAATTTATTTAAAATTAGGGGCTGGTGCAGTAGTGTAGCAGGTAAAGCTCCCACTTGTGGTGCTGGCATCCCATATGGGTGCCAGTTTTTTTCCCTACTTCTCCTCTTCTGATCTAAAAACCTGCTAATGCACCTGGGAAAAGCAGCAGAAGATGGCTCAAGTACTTGCCTCCCCACCCCCCACCCATGCGGGAGACCCAGATGAAGTTTCTGACTCCTGGCTTCAACCTGACCCAGCCCCAGCTCTTGCAGCCATCTGGGGAGTGAGCTCCTAGATAGAAAATCTCTCTCTCTCTCTGTTTCTCCCTCCCTGTCTGTTATTTTTACTTTCAAATAAATAAATCTCCCTGTCATTTTTACTTTCAAATAAATAAATAAATCTTTAAAAACTTATGTTAAATTAAAAGTTCAATTCTTCAATGGCACTAGCCACATTTCAAGTGCTCAATAGCTTCATGTAGTTGGTGGCTACTATGAAAAAGCATAGATATGAAGCATTTCTATAATTTCAGAAAGTTATATTGGATAATTCTATATATGCCCAGGCATCTCCACCTTGCTACTGTTTCTGCTTGAATTGCCCTCTTCTAACATTTACACCTGAAAAACTTTTACACAGCTTACAATTTCCTTCAAGTAACCTTTTCTTGGGGAGTGGGGGAGGGTTGTTTGGTGCAGTGGTTAATTTACACTTGAGATGCCTGCATCCCATATCAGAGTGCATAGATTGAATTCCCAGCCCTGCTAACAGTTCCCTTTCCTGCTAATGCACACCCTGAAAGGTAGAGGTGATGGCTTAAGTGCTTGGGTCCCTGCTACTGTGGAAGACCTGAACTGAGTTCATGATTCCTGACTTTGGCCTGGCCTTGTCCCAGCTGTTTGTGGGTATTTGGGAAGTGAACCAGCAGATGGAAGAGCCTTCGCTGTACATGTTTTTCCATTTCTGTCTTTCTGTCTGACTTTCAAACAAATAAAAATAATTAGATTTCAAAAAGAAATCTTCACTGATTCCTTAATTTTGCCATCATTTCTGATTACTTGGATTATGCTTCTTTTATGGATCCATGCCATCTTCCATGCTGTTGTAATGTGGACTCCTCAGCCTCAGGAACTGAAACTAGTTAGTATGCGCTATAGGATCTTGTGCTTAGGACATAGTAGGCCCTTAGTAACTTAGAAAAAGAAAACTTTAGATGTAGTATGGGGGAGATAAGGATCACATTGAATAACTCACTTTAAGAAGTCATGGAATGACAGATGGGATCGGATTTTATGTTTTTGGTTTGGGACATGGAATGTACAAATAGTGTTGCACATGGCTTTGTTCTTCCTTTCCTGTCTCTGCATCTGTTATCCTCTTGACAGCTTCATTTAACACCAGGAAGATGTTTATTAAGCTAGCTGGGGATCATTTCCAACTCTCATTGCTGTTTCTCAAATTCGTGCACACCCTCAGAGGACTTTTCCTATAGTAGCAACTTGGAAGGAATTGGAGGTCTAAGATTCTCAAGA